CTGCACCCGCCACGACTTCCAACTCCGGCAGGTGGACGAGTTTTCACCAACTATGCCCTCGTCACTGGTGGTTGACGCCAAGGCGCTCTACGACTCGCTCAAGGCTGAAACACCCAACCTACAGGGCGACAAAAGAACAAAGATTGAAGTCATGGTGACCAAGCAAAAGATGCTGGCAATGAAGTCCCGGTTGAAATGGGTCTCGTCTGAGGCTCAGATGGCCGATGGAGTCACCAAGTATGCCGCCAGACAGCTCTTTGCCGATCGTCTTCGCTCTCACCACCTTTCACTACAAGCTGATGTCTCCTTTCAGGCATCCAAGAAGAAGACCCTGGCCGAGCGACAGGCAAGCGCAAGACGCCATGCCATCACTCGGACTGGCAACCCCAACCACTTGGCCTTTGCAGTCCTCACCTCACAGATGATTGGAGTCAAGGCCATGACGGTGGATGAGGTCATAGCAACTATGCTGTCACCCGAGATGACCGTGACCCTGTATGTCATTGTGATTGGCATGCTGCTGTGGCGTTTCCTTTGTGGCAACAACGGAACTTCATCCTGGAGCTCCTCAGTTACAAGAACGACCTGGACTATGACTTCAACGAGCTCTACAGCGGCCGAGACACAGACTGAGAAGGAGCCTGAAACCTCCTTTGGTGTCCTCCGCACCGAGAACCTGCGGCTGCAAGACATCGTGAGAGACCAAGATGCTGAACTATTTGACCTACAAGCCCAATGCAGAGCACAAGAAGAAGAGATCGAACAGCTCATCGACATCCGAGAGTACATGAGGGTGGAGATGCGCGAGATCGACACCGAGTACAAGAAGGCCCGCGACAACTGGATCGATGCGCACAACCGCTTAGCTGCGGTCCGTGACCAGCTCTCCAGAAATTGGATCCCCGACGCGGTCATCACGACCCGAACCGGCAAGTCCTACCACACCAATGCGGACTGCCAAGCAATAGCTTCAGCTGACTCCACGCAGCTGCGACAATGGAACTGCTGCGCTTTCTGCAGCCAAAAGGCCTTAGAGCACTGGCGATCCTACTGAGTGGTTCACAAAGACCACCACCGGTGTGGATTTCACGCCGTGCAATCCTGTTTGAGCAGTTTTTGGCCGATGGCCGCTGCCACTCTGGTTCTCCTGCGCCAATGCAGGGGCCCCTTGAAGCCTCACACGTGCTACGCACATGCTAAAAGAGACGCAGTCACTTTTTCACTTCCATCTCGACACTTCGTGCGGTCGCGATACAACACGAGTTTCCACATCCGTGTTTTCATAGTTAGAGTCTAGAGTCTAGAGATGATCGAGTCCTAGGTGGCGCGCGAGGGTTGAAATATCCACGAAACCTTGACCAGTAGAAGCCTATGCTGACGCCTTATGCTGCACCAGATCCGCAGCAAGTCTCAGTGCGAGCAAAAGTTGGGGGACCAAGGGGTCCAGGCCATAATGTGGATCCAAAAGAGCTGAGAGTGGGCCACCACTCCAGTCATGGTGCGCAGGAAATTCGATCTGAACAGGTCGCAGTTCAACGCGATGAATTTGCGACAGATCATGAGTAGCTCTAAAGCGTCTGGAGCTGATTCTGGAAAAACCCGGAAGGTTGAATCGTGCACTCACATTTTGAGGACGTAGTTAGCAAGTTAGCAAAGGTTGATCAAGGTTTGCTTACGCCACTGCTTATGCACCCTTACGCCACTGGAGGTGTTGCTTACGCGCCTCGATGACAATATATAAGGTCTTAACGTCGGGCTTGCGCTGAATCTTGCACAGCCCTTACGCCACCACAGTGTTTGCTTACGCGCAGGATCGCACAAGAGGGTTTACCTCATGGCTCACTCGTTGCTCTTCGATCTCGCGATCCATGAACGGGTCCCCTGGTAGTGCCCCTTTCTGGATCCTGAAGCCACCGTCAAGTAATGTGAAAGACATCCCGAAACCCGCTCTGCACTGACCATTTTGAGCTTGGGCAGCTTTGGACTCTACAAACCTGCAAGTCGTCTCACACAGAGCATCTTGGTAGTCATCCTCTCAGAGGTTACTACCTCCTGGAACAAGTGAGCGAGGTAGTGATCAGAATCCGCACTGTGCACGAATAAAAGGTTCCAGCAGCACACGCATTGTTGCTATCACTTGAGAGTAACATGAAATGCATTATGCAACATGGCCCTGTGGTAGAACAGTACTCTCGGCCCCTGTCTGGGAGTATGGCTCCAAGGGAGAAACACAATCTGCACGCCGCCGCCATTTGTTTGAAAGCCTGTCAGGTACAAAAGCAGGCAGATCCCAAGCAGGAATGTCCTGAGGCACTAGCAAATGTGTCAGCATGCTCAGCTTCAAACGCACGATATCATTGTCTGATTTGTCTGTAGGAATATGTGTCCTTGAAGCAAACCACAGCAACTGACTTCGGCAAGGAAAGGACATTTGTGGTGTTACTTGCCTTCTCAGGCTGCCCTGCAGAACAAATAGAACCGTCCGAAGTTCAAGCAAAGGAATGTCAAAAAGGATGCGCGGATCGGGAAACAAATGTTCATGCATGCCCCATTTGCATCTCTACACTCTCTTGCTATGTAGCTAGAGCCTGTAGTTTCTCTTCTCATAGAGCCTTAGCTCTAGCCAACCAACTCTTTAGCTTGGGACGCTATCATTTATTTGATGCGACTGCACAAACAGTCGAGCGGATTTCGCACCAATTCATACCAGCTTCATACAAGGACGATCGCCGCATACCCCCCTGAACCCCAGCCTTGCAACCAATGTAGCCACCACCTTTGCCCCAATCATGCTGCATGATGCTACATGAGATGTTCATGCTAAAGCTATCTAAACCTGCTTGCAGTTCTGCGATCTACCTCGCAAAAAAACGCATTTTGCAAGGTCAACCAGTAGGTGTGACAGAGTGTGCAAAAAGGGGGTCCTCATGTTCACAAAGCTGCAATCAAGCGCAACAGAACAAGTGTCATTAAATTGACAATTTTTGATATTTTCATACGTGAGTGGATGCGAGGAGGCGTGCAACGTAAAATACTAATCATGGCAAAGGTGGTGTGAGAAATCCAAGAGCTGTCGTTCGTAGGAGGCCAGGACCTTTTGCAGACCACTTGGAGAGGACAGGAAGAAAGGAGACCAGGTTCCATGTACCGGAAGACATTGCACATGTGACATCGCAAAACATGGAATTTGCATACCCGGTGGAGAGAGTATTTGAGGCTCTTACGAAGCACTTTCTACATAAAACCTCTCCCAAAAAAGGGATGTATTGGGTATGTCCTACTCCCCGCACAGTGCTGGATGATGATGATGATGATGGTCCTGCCCAAGGGATGTACAACCTTGGCACCCTAAAAATCGCCGGGCCAGTAAGTTTGTCAAAGGAGGTGACCAACCTTAGAGCAATAACAAATCACTTGCGTCTACGAAATGATCAGATCAAGTTCTGTGGTGTATAAATCTTGACTCCTCACCTGCCAGGTGAGGGTTGTTATATAAGAGCTGTCTTCTCGTCCTCCTCCTGTTCCTTGTCGCGGGGTGGATCGCAGTGGGCACTACCGGGCCTCAACCGCGAGGGCTAGATCGCTGTGGGTAGGAATGCCGGAAAGAATGTCAGCAAATGCCCGATAGAATACCAACTATACTGTGAGAGTATATTCCAGAAAGAATGCCAGAATATATGCCGGATAGAATGCCATGATCTGTATATGTAATACATACAAGTATATATGCAAGATCGCCACTTTCTTGCAGGGTATATTTAATGCTATGGTGGGGATCACTCGAAGTCTATGAAATGACAATCGAACAGAAGGACACTGGAAAAGGCATTTTATGGACCATTAGGGGTGGTTGTGCCATCCTGTTCCATTTCTTCGCTGGTTTTTCCTCCAACTTCATGTACAGGCTAATATTACTATTGCAGATCGGTTGAAATGTCTTGTCGCAGCTTTTGAAAGGTTTTAAGGGTTGGGGCATTCACACTGCCTTGACGAGGCATTTTAGACCCTTGGGTCTACCTGGATGAATGAGAGGCTTGCTGTGTCTACATTCTATGAAATGCAATTCCAACAGAACATTCTCAGAATGGACAGCACAGTGTTTTGCAATAGATTGTGATGTCACTTCACCAACATGTTCCAATGTTCCAAACACTCCAAATCAGATTCTCTATAAAATGACATTTAACATGTCTTATCTTGTATGACGCAGGATTACATGTGTGAAGATGACCACTCTACAGCATGCCATGTTCAGGTTTTGGCTATCCAGGGTACCCTCACTATAGAAATGGGGCCCCTGAACTGCATTTTGTAGATGTAAATGGTCCCCATTCTATTGAGATCCCTCTACCGGGTATGCATTTGCCATCACGCTGGAGTGTCTCCGCAGATCAATGCGATTACTCGCGCAAGCTGGCATGAGGCATTTATCGCGGATGTTTTTTCCAGCTGCCTAGCCACTGCATGGCCCTGCCTTCACTTCACAGTCAAAGACAGCATTGGTTGTATACCGTGAACTTAGGTGGCTTAGGTACACTCCGACATACACCTTCTTTTTGCCCAAGGGGCCTTGTCATACCGCAGAGTCATGTGTAAGTCGCCGAGCAATGGATGCCCCAATTGCTGATGGGTTGAAACGAGGGTCAGACTACTGACTACTGTAGGAGTTTTGCTCCGGCTGCAATCCACGGTCTTGATCCTGGGTTCTGGGAGTGCCTTGCGAGGATGAGAAGGCGGAGTCTGATGCATCTCATGTGCACAATGCTAATCAAGGCACTTCAGCTTTTGCAGAACTGCGCATAGCTCCTGCAAAGTGAAAACCCCACCAGGCCCACGATGCATCCAAGCAAGCACACAGCATATGTAATGTTGGAGGGCTGCGTACTTGTACTTGTGTTTTTGAACCTTGATGCACTCGCAAATGCGCCTGAATTACAACAAGGCAAACATGGCAGTGATGTTTCGCGAGTTTGTCCTCGACTTCACATGCTGCAGCCGCCTCATTCTCCTGCGTCGATTTCTGCTGGAGTGAATGCATTTATTACAGTAACAGGAACAGTGAGGAATTTTAGCTTGTCGGGACAACTACAAAAAGTACAAGTAGTGAATTGCTAGGTGAGCGGCGATCTAAACCTCTTACATGCGGAAAAGGACATCAAGAGATGGGTATCGTTTTTTGTTCCCGACCCTATCGTTTTATCAGCACTTCCAACATGAAGGCCTATAGCTACGCACCCACAGTGGCTGCTTCTTCTTTTTACTGATTGACAGTCCCACATGTGACACAAAGTGTTCTATGGCTCTATTTTTCTTGCTACTGAAACCCATTGTGAACTCATGTGGACCTCTGGCCTGGGGGGCCTAAAAAGGCCTAAAGGTGGATCAACATGGTCTCGTTTTGAGATGTTTTGAATTTCATTTGCGATGATGAAAGTGCCACTAACACCCTGCTGTTTTGAGGCAACAAAATTGAGTGTACAATCCAGGTGGGACGTAAGGGAACGCCCAGCTTATTCTATCAACAGGTAAGTGATAAAAGAAGTAAGCTAAATCCCTGGAAGCACGGTCTATATTAATTACAACCCTGGGCGAGTCCGAAGGACGAGACCCCGTGGTTGCAAGGACGGTCGGACGAAGGCACGACGGCGAACGAACGACCGAACGAAGTGCGAAAGCAACGAAAGAGCGCGAAAGCAAGTGCGAAAGGGAGAGCCAACCACAGGTTGGTTAACCCGGCGCCCTGAAGAAAACGCACGCGGCTGCGATTGTTTTCTTGAGCCAAGAGCAACGGTTGAAGCATGTGTTTTACATGCTTTAGTGAACCGTAGCTAAATAGATAGACATGTACAAGTAGTGAATAGCTGTTACATAGTAGGGGTTCACAGAAAATGACTCCCCCCTCCCCGTTTTGGGGCAGCATTCCTTTGTACATGCATGAATTACCGCGCCGGGTGGCAGCGGTTTCGACGACCTACGAAGGCTTCGAACTGCTTGGAAGGCTTCTATCTGTCTTAGATGGGACTAAGCACTTTAAATCCGTACGGATGCCAAGCAAGCATAGCGATTTGAACCACTTTTGTGGTGGTAACGCCTTGGTGAAAATGTCGGCGGCTTGTTCATTCGTATCGATGTACTTAATCTCGACAGAGGGGTCGTCGATGCATTCTTTTAACGAACTGAGGTTTATTTTATGTGTTCGGCTGATGTGTCGTAGCTTAGGGGAAAAGCCCTTCCTTACTACTAGAATCGTGGCTTGGTTATCTTCCTGTATGACGAGGTTCATGGCCCGCCCAAGAAGTTTATCCCATAGCTGCAACGAAGGAAGACCTTCTTGATACAACGAATAGGCCAAGCTTACTACTTCTGACTCTGTAGTGGATCTTGACGTGGAGGTCTGGCGCTTTGACACCCATGCTAGTGGATAATGGGTGTTAGGGCCCTTGAGCACTAAGTACCCACCGGAGGTGGACTTCACGTCATGTTGGTCGCCACCAAAGTCGGCATCGACAAACAACTCTAGCCACAGCTCACTAGAATCATCGCCGCAGACGGCGGTTAACCTATAGTCTAGCGAGTGCTGAATGTACTGTATTAGCCGTAGCAACTTTTTATCGTGCACACGGGTCCACTTCTGTACTTTAGTGGCTAGATCGTTGATTGGTTTAAGGATGTCGGGTCGTGCTAACCTGGCAAGCCAGAGGGCTTTCATCAGGATAGAACACGCTTTTGGTGCGAGCTCTCCGGGCGACTCCTCATCAGCCGTGGTGAATGTGCCGTCTGCGAGAAATGGCGTCTGGGCTGACTTTATCTTTTCAACACCGGCCACCGACTTGTAGAGGTCGATGGTTTGCTGCGCGTAGTCCTTCATGTCGAAGATTAGGGCGTCAGCACTACCGCGCAAAGCAGCGGTTTCGGTGTTTCCTGAATCTGGGACTACCGCGTAGATGTGGTTCCTTCCTAGCATTCTGTAAATAGGCTCGGGTGGTTCAACGTTAACAACATTTGTGAGTTCTGACCAAAACTTTTGGTGGTGTCCCCGTGGGCCTGCCAAAGTGAGGTCGTCAACGTATGTAGATAACATTAAACGAGGGCCAGAAAACCAGAAGTTACCGGGGAACTCTGGGATTTCTTCGCCACCCATATTCTTAAGAATGCCTTTTAAATGCTGTTCCCACATCCCTCCAGCGTCGGGATGTCCATACAGCGCTTTAACGAGAAGGACCACTGGTTGAACAAATTTGTTCTTCCACCATGCGGGTCGGAGTTCAGGTGGTAATTCGATCCAAGTTTTATACTTGGATTTATAGTGTTGCTTGCACATACGCTTTCACCGCATCCGCGGCGGTGCACAGGTTACCAGGTAGTGACCCGTACGCGAGGCAAGCGTTCAGCCCTTGGACCGAAGTCGGATTTGCGCCTAATTCTTCATAGACGGCTGCTGCGCCATGTTCGTCCTTTGCGCAGTCACCTCGGTAGACAATTCTACCTTTCTTTTTCTGCAACTCCTTTGCCAACTCGTAAAATTTAATGGATGCTATGGTCATCAATTTACCGAAATGGACGGAGACACCGGAAGCCTTGGCTTCAGCACGAACGTGCTCCTTCTCCCTAACGGATTCATACTCCCAAGTACCTTCGTTAACCAAATCGGCTGCCTCGTCCTTAACCTTTTGCAAGGCTTCAGGATCGCTGAGCATCTCGGTACGGCTTAGGAGCTTGGTGACCAAAGCTGCTACCTGATCTTTGCCATCCTCGGTCTTTGGGATCTGGTAGGTCTCGTGCATAAGGGCACTGATATCCATTAAACATTCAACCATCTGGTCGACAGTGTCATCTGTCTCAACTGCGATGGCCATAGCGTCGATTCCTGACAGAGCTGACGCGTGTTTCAGCGTCTGCTCTTTGTCCCGGTGCTCATGTTCATGGGTACATGAAAAACATGGCATGGCTGGGGCATTATGGGAAAAGGACATGCTAGGGTAGAGGGCCTTTGCAATTTGGACAGTCATCTGCCTTGGGTAAAATGCAGTACGAGCTGTCTGCGACCCGACCGCTTGGTCACGCTCGTGGGGTTTATGGGTGCATTGGAACTGCGAGAACATGTCGACGATAGCCCTGCTGGTGGTCATCAGGCGCCACCTCTTTTTAATGGGTCTGCCTTTGGTGGATTTCACACCAACAGCGCACCCGTCAAATTCGACTGGAATAAATTCGGGGTGGCTATCAAAGAAATGTTTTACGTCTGTTCGTTGCCAACTTTCACACCCTTTAGGCCACTCGAAAGTGACAGTGCCTTCTCGAGCTAACGTGAGCTCTGCAGACTTGGCGAATTCGGCAAATAAACGTTTGGACTCCTTAACCTGGAGTGCATGCCTTTTCATGAAATTGAGCCCCCCTTTCATACGATTTACCCTTTGCCAAGGAGACCCTGATGCGCAAGGGATTGAGGCCCATAAATCAGGAATCTCATCACAGGTGCTTATATGGTGATGCAACTGCGCTTGCATTTGGGGATCGTCTAGGTCGAGGTGCTCTTTCGAAAGGGCAATGTGGGGAATTCCCATCTCCAGAAAAGTCTCGTGCATTTGCGAATCCGAGGCACATGCAAACTCGAACATACATCGGTCAGGCCGCGCCTTACGCGGTTTCTTCTTCTTCTTCTTCTTAGACTTAGAAACTTGAGCTGGTTGTGCTGTTGATGGCACGCCAAACACCGGGACTCCACTCTCTGGGCGGGTGTGAATAAGTTGTGTCCTGTATGTGGTATGTGGCGAGAGCGATAGCCCCGATATCACAGTCGGAGTCGCGTCGATGATGTGTGACTCATCCTCGGTGGGATCCTCGGATGAATCCGTCGGAGGTGCGGTCTCGGGCTCCCGCTGCGGAAGTTCCTCCACGGTGATGCCTTCCTTCCTTTTGGTAAGAAGGTCGCGTCGCTCCTCGTCAACCAGTTTGGCAAAACGTTTCCTACATGCAGGCGTGTGATATCGTGTTTTCTTCTCGCACGCTTTGCACCCTGGGGTTTCGCTAAACCGAATGATGCGATCCAAAGTGATATACACCCCCCTGGTCTTAGGATCCATGGGAGTTGGTGGGACGGCATCAGCCCCCTCCAATCCAAAAGGGGTTTCCTTCATGGGGATATCCGGCATGTCAAGACGTGCAAGATCGTCGAGGACTCCTAAAGAACCCCCTCTCAGGTGCGCTAACTTAACAGAGGCCATTGTGGAAAACATGGAGGACCATCTTCAACATAAATTTCAGCTTCGGGGACTTCTTGGACATTCACGTGTTCGCTGACCTTGTAATCCATGTAATCAAGAACACGAACAACATAGCGATACCGAAAACCAGCATCTATTCGCCAGCCTAAGAACAAACATGGGGACATGTTAGGCTCTAGGGTGCGTTTAGATATCCGCTTGTCACGGTAGTACATCAGTTGACCAAATGAATGTCTCATGCCGTCGAAGGGTTTGCGAGTGAGCGCTTCCCATTGTGTCTTTGCTGGTTCCAAAGCTGACGGTCTGTCAAAACTCATGGAAAGACACGCAAAGGGATATGAGTGGGTGTGAAAGGAGTATGGCAACCCAGATTGGAGGTGGATTGCTCTGCAGCACTCCTTTTCCTCACGGATGTCTCTTTCCATCATGGCGTTATGGGGCCATCTGTTTGGTAAGGACGTTTCCGGAATCAACCCAACTTCATGTGCAGCCTGTTCCAACTCCCCAGCCTCGTCCATCTTAACAAGGACGCGAGTAGCTACCTCGTTAGCCTTTAAGCCTAGGAAGTGACGAAAGTTCTTGGAGTGGGTACTGGCATCACGCTTACTCATGGGGTATGCTATTCTAGCACCCGAGTAGGTGTCTCGGACTACATGAAATGCTTTAACCCCACCTACACCTTTGCCGGCGAAGTCCTCTCCTTTTGCCATTATGACGTCGTCGGTAGACAACTGTTCATATGGACCTTTTGGTGGGTCTATGAAGTCGTCGTCTTTGACATCAG